GTAAGATTAAAATTAAAAGCGCAAGTGGTTGATATGCATCTTTAAATTGTTGTAGATCCTAAACATTCAGATAAAATAAAAAATGGTGTAAGGAACCTGAATATGATTTTCGATTATCTAGACAATGATACCCAACTCAACCTATGTCGTCCACTTTTTTTTTTACTTTGTCTCAACATGGCACCTAGTTGTTCCCATATTGAATTTCGATTACTATGATATCTTTAGTAGCACTACCACCATTAAGACGAATCGATTGGTGTATGAATCATCAAAATCGGTCCACGCGTTTGGTCTCTAGTGTGCCATAAAGGAATATACATACTTATATAGACTGTTAAACACTATACCCTGGCTGCGCGTCGCGCTTCGCGCTCTTGCATTGCGCAGTCGGGTAAAAAGAATTGTTATCGAGCACAACACGCCGTTATCACATACATGCAAGAATTAATTTTGAGTTTTTAACCATCTAAAACTAGGCGCCTGTAATTGTTTTCAAATAACACTTTACTTATACAAAACCAAATGTTTAAAATGAAATCAATTGGCACTTAATGGCGAATATCATTAATGTATAGGCAACCGATCAACCGCAATCATTATCAATATTTTCATAACCTGATCATCGACAAAACTTTCCGAAAATCATTAAAATTCGATTAATGCGGCCGGGCTTCATCGCATTTGTTACAGACTTAAACTTGATTTGCTACCAAATTTACCTAAGCATTCTTTAATCACTCTTTATGTTATACTATTTCATAATTCTACATTTTTGTAAACATATCGGTAAAACCCTTATATAATTGCTAATCATTAATTATTTTTTAATACGGCACTCAATATATTATGTGGCAATTCGGGCTGATCAATAAAATTTTAATAGTTACAGCTTAAGTGTTAGTTGAATAACTAGGTTCTACGGTACATTGGAATACTTTCCTATTATAAACCATAGAATCCGGAATACAAGCAGTATTAATAATATAAGAACGACAAAGAAACCACAAGGAACGTGCAATGAACCAAATTGCAGTTAGTTAAATATAATGTTAAACACAATTAGTATAACCGGCTGCTAACTCGTGTCCCGCCTCGTTGTTTCCAGGGTCGACGTGATTAGTGACTAATTGACATTTTTCCGCTGAATATACTCATTGTGGTAGTGGAATATTTTTTTTATAATAATAAACACACAAATCCTCCGTGATCACCCGACGCAAATAGAGGAAAAGATAGCAGAGTCTTACGATGGATTTCTTTAACTACAATCAAGGCTTTGACGGTTATGCACTAACAGTGTCTATGCTGCTCTTATTGTGAAGTTTTAAAATCATTATCAATGTCAAATTGTATATCAACTAGGTTTTACCTATTGTACTTTTATAAGGTCACTCACTTGTAAATGTATTTAAATAATCATTAATATTTCGGTATAGCAATCAGATCTTTTTAGTTAACACAGGAACATCCTTCTATTTCCCATAACTGAACTCGTTCAGTTTCTAAGAAGACGATAATTTGATCCAATATGTCCATTTCCCATAAACCGGATGTAGGTTCTTTTCCAAAGATGGTGGATACATCCACGGCATATCTGTGGAATTCACCGCGACCCGCAGTCAATGCGCGGAAAACCATTATATGACTCGAATACACATAGTTATGATTACGTATTGAACCTACGTAGACAGACACACACAAACCACTTTATTTTTTATTTTAAAGATCGACCTTTGCTCGGCAATATACGTACGTATGTTATGGACTTGCAAAAAATCTCGACGCGCGAATCATTATTCTGTTTTCGCATAAATACTTTTCATATTAATCTGTTTGATATTGACTTTAAAGTACAAATTAGCATTGACGCAACTAGCAGGGAATGCCAGAGCTACTTAAGGCAGATAAAATAATTTATTCTATAAATAAAGAAAATTAATTGTTTTATTCGTTCTAACTCATAGCCATGAACTACAATATCACTCGAGATATTTGTTAAAAATTTCTTGTACTACGTAAACTATAGCGGAACTTATAAACCTTTATTTAATACACTGGCCTGCAAAACTAAGTATAACAAATTAAAAAAAAAAGGAGAAAAAGAGAGGATATCAAAAAAAATTGCAGACTCAAAATTGCTATCTTTAAAAACTCCGAGACTAAATTATCCCAATGATACTTGAATGATAAACAAAATATGACCGTCGCATTTATCTATACATATATTTATAAAAATGGTAGGAAAGTCAAGACTGTACATTGAATATATTTTTAAAAGAATACTTGGGGTGTGATCTACAATCGATACCGAAGTCAAAAATATAGTTTTTAGAATTTTTGTTTGTTTGTCTGTATGTATGTCCGGGTTAAACTCAAAAGTACTGCATGGATTTATTTCAAATTTGGCACGAATATTATTAAGGAGTCAGGTCAACGTATAGGCTACATAATTATCACGCTATTACCTACGGGGAATGAGCAGTGAACCTTTATTTCTAACTAACTCCACTAGTTCTTCATATAAGTTACAACTTGGCAAACCATTCGTTGGGTAAAAAGGAATCCTACTAATATTATAAACGTGAAAGTTTGTGTTTAGTGTTTGTGTGTTTGTTACTCAATCTCGCAAAAACCGCTGAACGGATTTAGATGAAATTTGGTACGCATATAGTTTATGACCTGGATTGAGACAGAATACTTTATATCCGAAACAAAATTTAGGTACCTGAGGGATTCTCAAAAAAAACAAAAAGCTAACGCGGACGAAGTCGCGGGCGGCCGCTAGTATAATTTAAACGCATAATAATCGTAAACAGAGATGCATCGGGTGTCTAAGTGGGTGTTTTCAGAGAAAGCCGCCGTGCCGGACAATTTCTCATCAGGAGATGGGTGCGTAGGAGCAACCGACGCCCACTCATCGGACGCCGCGGGTGAACAAACGCACTCATATTAACAATTCTAAAGATCCGTTTTCTTCTTCACTTTGGAATAAAGATTTATTTAAACCGAGACAGGATAAATATTTGTCAGTTAAATGCTCAAAAGAAAATATAATAATCTCTTAAGACTGATTGTTTGACGAAAACTACCAAACTAAAATGATAGGTAGCACTCTCCTTAAGACACTGTTTTCAACCATATTCAGGTAGAGATTTTATTTGCGTTTTTTTTATAAACTCGTGTTGAACGAATTCAACTAACGTATTTACGGGATTATGATAAGAATTTTAATCATAGAAAAGAAAGCACATTTTTGTGCTTTCTTTTATGAATAAACTTCTATATAATAAAAGTATAAAATCTAGAAACATATACCTATATAACGTATAATTACAAACACACTAACTAAGGCCGCGTTGTTTCATCGATATTAAAACTTGACTGTTGTCAATATCACGTCAAATACTTAGCGTATGTGTCAAATTTTGTCATTTTTTTATATATATTATTTAACAAGTCAAATTTTACTATCGATGAAACAATGCGGCCTTAGATGAGTGTGTGCGTGATCTTCAAATGTTTTTAAACATATTAAGCACTTGCAATAACATTCCCAAGAACACACGTGGTCGATGAGTATGAGCGCTAAACTCGCAGTTTACAACACATGCTATATTAAACAGAACTTTGTATTGTCTACAAAGTACCTATTGTTGCATTTATAACTAGACCAGGCTGGCGCCATATCTTCTGTGACTCATTGTACAACGCTTAGCATGGTAAATACGTCAACTGCTATTAAAGGTCAAGATATTTATGGTTGTAGTTTTAGGTTAATATGTGTTAGTTCGATATTATATAAATTCGATGTTATATAAAAATAAACTACTTTTATTACTGTTAGTATCAACGCTGTTTTCAAAAAATGAAAATTTTGAAAAAAAGACTTATATGTTCATAAAAGAACACAGTAGTTTTTATTCCAAAACGTTTTAAAAAAATAGCTTTTTATATCAAATATCAGTATAAAAAAACTTTTCTTGTTTTAAAATTTCGTGGTTGTAGGGAAATAAGAAAAGATTTTTTTTATAGTAATTTATGTTAATTACGGGATTGCTTTATATCGAGAACTCGCTAAAAACAAGGTAGCAAATCCCGAAAATAACATAAATAACTATAAAACAGTTTTCTTTTCTTATTTCACTAACGTATTAGGTTCTTTACCATAAAGACTTAATACCTCGCCGCGCCGCCGGGTATCATTAAGCTATCTCTTATTTGGGGCGGAATGAGTGTCCGGCAGTAATTCTGGCTGTCAATAATTATTACGACGTAATCCATGATTGATGCACGTACCAGTAACTCGGTAGCTCCAATCGAGATATAATTGAGCCGGCCATTGTAACTGCGTGATTGATAGTACCGATAAATGAATACAAGCGTCTAGTTACATTATTAATTAAAGGTGCGAATCACCAAGCTCGTATTCGTATTCGTAACAGATACAAAAAAAAATATTTTCATAGAACACCGCTACAACTACGGACTGCTACGACAACGCTACGAATTACTACGACTACGACACATTTTTCAAAAGTACGCATTGATAAACATTTATTTTGCATTTAACATAGCTACCTTTTTTTATTTTAAGAAATAAACATCTAAACCAGCTTTGCTTTGTTTACAAGTAAACTTCGAGAAGATACCATACCGGACTTCATTTCTAAATTTAATCGATCTAAAATTCAAATTACTAATTTGCCAATTCTTACGCACAAGTACAATGTGCTAAAATCAAATCAGGTAGCAAGTCCGAAAAGGTAGTGGCAGCCAGTCGAGTATGGAAGCGTCGCGGCGTACGCGCCCGCGCCCGCGCCGGCAATTGTTTACGGCGCGCACGCGCGGCGCGGCGCGTGTCCCCCCGCGCCCCTCGGCAGCTGCTCCGCTCCGCACAGGTGGCGCGTGTGGGAACTCGACTGCTCCGTACGTTCCCACGATCGCGCGCACTCCGCTCAGCTATATAAACCCCCGCCCGACCGTCACAGCGCATTCCGCGTTCAACGCTCAGCGCTAACGCACGCTCCCACTCAACACACAAATGTCTAACATGTCTTACGAGATCGCGTACTCGCTCGCAGACGATGGCCCGCAGCCCGTCTCGCGCACTTATCAATATCGCAAAGTGATGAAGCCGATGCTCGAGCGCAAAAGGCGCGCTCGCATCAACCGCTGCCTCGATGAACTCAAGGAGCTGATGGTCAGCGCCTTGCAATCGGAAGGCGAGAACGTCGCCAAATTGGAGAAAGCTGACATTTTGGAGTTGACAGTTCGCCACCTTCACAAGCTACGCCGCCAGCGTCGCCTGTCACTCAACCCGACAGTGGATGCGGATCGCTTCCGTGCTGGATTCACCCACGCCGCAAACGAAGTGTCTCGCTGCTTGGCCTCCATCCCTGGTGTGGATGTGAGGCTGGGCACTCAACTGATGACCCACCTCGGACACAGACTGAACGACATGCAGCGCGCCGCCGCCGGTGCTGACACACCCCCAGCGAGCCCACCGAGCCCTGCTCCCTCCAACGCATCTTCATCATCAGGATACGTGACTCCCTCGCCGCCCGCATCGCCAGTGCCCATGACCCCCTTGGACTGCACCACCAACACCAGTTACACCAAGGGCCCCGCAGTGTGGAGGCCCTGGTAAACTCACCTAGCGGGCGCGCGGACCCGGCTCCACGGTCACATTTGTTCCCAGCACCGCTCGGGGTCGTTCGCTCCCAAAGTGTCCGCCGCTCCAATTCAGTGATGCTCATGTGAAAGTTTCAGACGTCTCAGATCTCACAATATGATTAGTGTAGGAAAGAATAGCTCGTAAGTTCAACTTCAAAGCTTTAATTAAAAGTAGCCTATAAGACTATTTGTGATATTAAAGAGTTAAATATTATTGTTTAAGAAAATGTTGTATCGAGCCTTGCCGAGGTCGTTAATATTGTTATATTTTTATCGTTGAAAAGATTTCACAGTTCGTGAAGAAGAGAGCAAAGTTGATTTAAAAAAATATATATTATTTCTTATCATATTTCTGCATTTCACTTCTATACTCATACCCTACTTAGAACGTAAGCTTCTGAATAACAAACATCGAGTTGACGCACTCAGTAATTGTTATTGATAACGAAAACAAAACTAATGTTTTAGGGGAGCACGCTTTCGTATTTTGGGTCGTCAACACGTGAAGTTAAGGTCACCCGATAAAAGTTATCGGAAGTATGAAAATAACATAGCTGTGTGTCAGATACACGAGGTTAAGGGCATCACCTCCGACACGGCACCGAACTGTGTCGCACGCGCGCCCAGTAACTTTCCTGTTACTCACATCAATTACGTACCTACTAGAGACGATGTATTAAACAAGCTTAAATAACAACCAGATAACGAGAAAACCGAAACAATTAATTGCTTTCGTAATTAATACTACCAACATGCGATAGATTACCTTTTAAGTTTAACGTTACTGTAACGTATTATGAAAGTATTTATGGGTAAATAATTAGTTAATCCTTCGCCAATGTGTACTTAAAATAAATCTTGAATAAACAGCTTCAGCTAACTACCTAATTTGCTAAAACACTTGCATTGAGTAAATCTGACACAAATACAACAATGGTATTACATGCATAGAATAACTTTTTTCTACATTTACCAACCAAAAATGACCCAGGAGATTATATTGAATTGTTTTTGCATTCTCATAACGCACACAAAAGAGATGTCTTATCCCTAAACTAGCATAAAAATGATCTTCCAATTGTTCATGCACCATAGAGTCGATTGCGATAATCTCATAAAAATATAGGTTAAGCGTTTAATTAGGAATATGACTACTTCACAAATGTTTACAAACTTAATTAACTACCATCCCACTAGGTACCGTGGTATTTAACCCAGAAAAATAAATTAAATCACTAAAATGTGTGTACGCGTATGAATGTTGTGGTTGATGTTGTCAGGAAAAGGTTTGTGTAAAAGGAAATATCATAAAAATCGAACAGCAAAAAATGCCGGTATAAAGTTCACTGAGTCAGTTTCTTCTAGTTTCTTCATAAACTGATTTAATTCAGTTGGATCTCATTATTTCCATATGTATGTATAGTATATTAAATTTAAGAAAACAACTTTTGGTATGTAAGATATTTGAAATAAATACAAAATATCAGCAGTGCTATTCTCTAAGAACAAACTCACTTTTCACCGACGAATCCGCCCGCCAATGTGATTTGAAATTTATTTTAAAGTAGCTGTGCCCAGCGGTGTTACCCGCGGTTTATAAGGGATATGTCCTCGCAGTATAACGTAGCCTAGGTATGTGTTAATCCAGGGTGTCAGCTAACTCCATATTAAATTTTATTAAAATCGCCCAGCCGTTTAGACGTGATGAAGTAACAAACATACACACTTACACACTCACAAACTATGGCCTTTACATTACTAGTGTGAAAATTAATGTTCTAAATTTTAAATCACACCGCGAAATTTAAGGTGAAAAGTAAGTATGTTCTTACGGAATAGCACTGCAGGTTATTACTCGATTACTATTGAAGAAAACAAAAATAGGTACTTATTAATATTAATAATTTTAATAGAATAGGTATGTATTAAAACATTATCGTCGATATTAATGTTTTCAAATAATAAGCACTATCGGTTTTAAAACTTTCCATTCTCTAGATTACATTGTACAAGCATTTGTGTAATAAAATGCTTCGATTGTTTATCGTATTTATGCAGCTCACAATAATACCTACCTATTAAACAACAACGAACGATGAACGAGAAGAAACGATGTAGTACAAAATCGAAACGAGTAACTCCATCTGTTACGTACGACCAATAAACTTAAAAGCTCACAGGTAAACGAAAACGTTTAGCGCCATCTATCGAAAGCTGTTGTTACCAAATGAGCTTTCCTATGCATAAAGTCCGAAGCTTTAGGAGCATGCTGTAAAACTTTTGCTGTGCTTATCGAAAGCACGCGACTACAAAACCTGCTTAAGTTTTCTCACTCTGTTCTCTTTTTAAAAGGATTTTTGTGATGTAAATAAAAAAAGATAGTTACGTTTTAACTGTTATCTACAAATTCAAAACATACATTCAATAAGCTTTTTAAACAGCCTTTATAAGAACCTCAAATTATAAAAGTTTATGAGCTCAACAAACAAGAAAGTTAATTTAACACTCCCATTAAAGAGTGTTCCTACCTAATGTTTTCAGTGTTCATTTATGTGACGCTGATATGGCATATGTGATTAGTGCACGAAAATTAGAATTTATCGTAGAATAAATATCGTTTTAATACCTTCATTTGCTCCTTCATGAAAGTAATCCGAGTTTGTCCAATTCCAGCAGCTGAGTATAGCCAAATAACCGCGAAATGTTTGCTCTTTTTGCAGTTTTTTGCTTGTAGCTCAAAAACGGTACGTCCGATGGATAACGTTATTCTATGTTTTTATTTATTTTTAAGCATTTAACTGCTAGATGTTTAAATCTAAAGAAAAGTTTACTAGAAAAAAACTCCCGTCCGCTGCCTGGTCCGCGTGGTTTTTTTTTCTAGTAAACTTTTCTTTACATTTAATGTTATTCTACTCAATATTAAAGAGGATAAAATTTTGCGTCGAATGAGAATCTCAAACTTCAAATTAGATCTAGTGGTACAGCCAAAATCATTAAAATCAGAGACAGACACCTCAATTTTCAATTCAGTCATTTGAAAGACTAAATTAATCATCAATTTAAAATCGGTTTTACATCGTCCAAGTAACAAAAATTCTAATAAAAAAATTTAAAAATCAAAAACCCCGACTGCTTAATTATACTTCAAATAAAAACTGAAAAGAAAAAAACAAGTCCAGTAGTCTATAATTCTGTTAATAAGGAACAAAGGTACTTTAACAGTCGGGACCCTTTAGATATTCAAGAATACATAATATTTTTCAACAGTGGGTCCCGACTGTTAAAGTAGCTTTGTTCCTTATTAACAGAATTATAGACTACTGGACTTGTTTTTTTCTTTTCAGTTTTTATTTGAAGTATAATTAAGCAGTCGGGTTTTTTGATTTTTAAATTTACCTTTTTTATTTCACACTTTTTAGTTAGTTAGTATTTTAAGACGGTATATACCGTAGTCTTGTTACTTCAGTAAGGGAATTAAAATTGCGGGAATTATTAAGTACCTTGCGTCGGTCTAAAAGATTGATTTAATAAGACATATAAAGACTTTACCCGCGGGGTCAAGACTACAGATGGGCCTCATTTTTCGCAAAATTGTGTGAAGTTAAATCAAGTCGTTACATAAATATCTCTAATGTACGTAAATTTTATAGTGAACTAGCACTTACTCAAAAAGTCATCTTTTGTTTATGTTTTTTTTAATAGTTTAGCAGTAAATATAAAATTATTTAGTTTTATTCGTCGACTATTTAAAATTGGCAATGGCTGCATTGTCATGTCAATGCCGGACGTCTAAGATTGTGATATACACAAATTCAGTGACAGTCCCTAGTCTCATAATTTGATATACCTATATAATTCACAGAAAGCGAATATGTAGATGCCAGAAGTTAACTTTGAAATGTTTTTAATCACCCTATATACAATACCAATCAATGACGTTTATGTCACAGGTTGAAGAAAGCAGTAACTCACGTCTGTTGTTTTGGACAATGGTGGCAACTGCCTTAGATCACTAAATTAAATAATTATGCAATCACCAAAGCAAAATTTATAAAAATAAATAAAAATTTTCATAACGTTAGGTAGAGCACCATAGCAATCTCATTTATTATCAATTTATAGTTCTCTTTGTAGTTTTCTTTTAAAGCGTTCACATTTAACAGGACAAAGACTTTGTGTTCGACCCTTTTTTTATTGGTAGTGTAAAGCTCGAATGAAGAGTACTCCCAGTAGTGCAATCATGGCAATTATTTTCCAATTTTTTTTTTGTTATAAAAATACCGAATAACGTATCACTGTTAAGCACAAATGCAAAGTAACTTTTAAAAATATAATCAAATAAACCTATTACTTATTATACTCTTTTATTATTATACTCTTTATTGCATCATATAGTTTAAACATATAGTAAAATACATAGTAAGCAAAGGTGGGCTTATCTCTAAAAGAGATCTCTTCCAGCCAACCTAGGTGGTGTCGGAGATTCACAACTTAGCGGGAAAAAGAAAGTGCAATAAAAATTAAACTAAAAATAATTTATTACTACTGTTATAGGAAATAGACTTAATAAATAATAGTTATATACATATATACGATACACATTACATATATAGATACATATACCTACATAAATAAACTTGCATAAATATACATAGATAAATACAATACCTATCCAAATATACATAACATACATATAAACCTGATAAATAAATACTAATAAGAAACAACTTACTTTATTTTTAAATCTTTTTCATCAATTAATACTTATCTTATCCTAACTATCTATACTAATATTATAAAGAGGCAAGATTTGTATGTTTGTAACCAATAATCTGTCAAACTACTGAACCGGTTTCAAATATTAATTCATCATAAGATAGCTACATTATTTATTATAACATTTTTCTTTATTTAAATACATTTTGTCCGAGTGACATAGGCTATTATTTTATCCCGATAAATAAATTTCGCCCGTACAATGCCCGGGTGGATCACTAGTAAGTATAATATAATATTATAGATGCGAAAGTGAGTTTGTTTGTTGCGCTTCCGTGCCCTAATAGCTAAATCGAATATAATGAATTCCCATATAGAAGTAGATGGGAACTTGGTTCTTAGCTACAACATCGCAATACTTATAGGCGTAGGGTGATGAAAGGGGTGATTTGCCTATAAAAATCTACATTATTTACTTTCAATTTTGCAGAATAATTACAAAACCAATATTATCGCGAGCTGATTAATAAAAACAGGGATTCCAATAAGTATGGACTTACTAGCGAAAAATGGGTTATTTGTCATTATATTAAG